CCTGCAGCTCTTTGAATATTCGGGCTTCTCTCTCTAGAATTAAGCCGGCTCCAGGACTAGAGCCGGCTCTCGTGCAATTTATGACTTTTGGTATTAATTGTTTATGATTTTGATGATTATATGCTCTTATTGAGGGGGAGTTTAGTATAAAATGCTTTTGATGACTTTTGGTATTGAATGTTTATTATATAAAATGCTAGAAATTTTTTTAAGTTTAGTATAAAAATTTTAAAATTCACGAAATATAACGTAGGAAAAAAAGAGGAAAAGCTGCAGTTTTTCGAATATACGGACCGATCCCGGTCTGTATATGTATATACGGACTGGGAGCGGTCCGTATATCAAACTTTCTGTTTGTCCCAATCAAGGCCAGTAGAGCCAGCTCAACCACTTTCACAGTCGGCTCCACCCAAAAACCCGAGAGTCTTCTCTCTCTAAAGTTGAGCCGGCTCCAAGAATAGAGCCGGCTCTCCTACAGCTTTTTGAATATTCGGGCTTCTCTCTCTAGAATTAAGCCGGCTCCAGGACTAGAGCCGGCTCTCGTGCAATTTATGACTTTTGGTATTGATTGTCTATGATTTTGATAATTATATGCTTTTATTGAGAGGGAGTTTAGTATAAAATGCTTTTGATGACTTTTGGTATTGAATGTTTATTATATAAAATGCTAGAAAATTTTTTAAGGTTAGTATAAATATATAAGCCTCCAATATCTATTACAAATATAAAGTCAATACAAATATTTAATTGAAAATAGAAAAACCTAAATATCTCGGGAGGTCCTAGGGGTGACTGTCCCACTGGTATCCGTTGGGGTCATGCCTAAATGCTGGTAAAGTTGCTGCATCTGTTGTTGCATCTGTGTCGTAAAAATCGATTGTTGCTCCCGTAGACTAGCATTATCTGCCAAAACATTAGACATTTGTTGTCGAAGGTTATCATTATCTGCCTTCAATGATTCAACAGTCTGCTCCAATTCAATAACCCTATTAGACTGTCCTATAATGGATGGCCTGAATGGTTCTCGTCTAGATGTGCTCACACCTATATCCTGTGGATGTGTGTGAATATCCAAACCTTTCAACCATCCTTTCTTGACCCCACCAGTTGCCCTAAGTAATATCTCAGCATGAGGTATTGTAGGGTCAAATCCTTCTTCCTCTTGTCTAGTAGCATATTCAACTGTCAATTTTTCATGAAATAATATAAGACAAAATAAATAATTAATTGTATTGAAAATTAAAGTGAAATTAAAAATATCACTTTAGGCACCTAAATTCAATTTACTCTCCCCTAAAAGGATGAAGTTCTAACTTTTTATCAATAGCTATATTGTACAATAGTTTAAATATTATAACTAAAATAATTTCAATTAATTCATGACACAATTTAAAATAAAATTGTTAAGTTAAATACTTACTCCAATTTCTTGAGTCTCATCATTACAATATATAGGCAGTTGATCTTTTCCTTTTCCTTTGTGCTGCCTTCTACTGGTGTAGACCTCAGGATATGTTGGTGGACGACCCTCGGGGTTTGCTT